CGCTCGCAAGCTCGCGTGAAGTCAGCTAACATTGTTGACTCGTATTCGTCTCTCACCCAGTCCGGTCCGCCAACTGCGGCTTTATTCAGACTCCGCCAATCTTGGGAGCGCAGTCGGCACAGTGTGGAAGTTGCAGGCGCCTAAATTGACGCCCTGTGGTCCCTGTCCAGGGTTCTGGTTCAGCAAATATCCTTTCTCATCGGATGGCTCGATCTTCGGCGCTGCGTCTTCTTGCTGGTTTCTTCTCCCTCCTGGCGACCACGCCGCTGAACTTCCGCCTGCAATACTTCGGAGCCGACCCAGCACAGCACCCGAAGCTATACAGATTCTTATCGACGGGCTTACTGTAAGCAGGCGCTTAAATAACAACAGCTTTCACCGCTTTTACCGCCCGAGCCTGGAAATAGACGCTGAGTCATTGCCACATCGCAGATCAATCACTGGGCTTCAGCGCCTTTCCTTAACTTGGCTTGGTGATAACCTCCACATCGCAGAACTAGAACGAGCAGCAACATGAACCACTGGGGCGCAAATCCATGGGGACCGGCAGCGTTCTACCAGCAGCCGGGGTTCCCCCCGCCGCAGCAGGCGTTTCCCGGGTTTTGGGGCCAGCCCGGGTGGGCGCCTCCGAACCCTGGTCCCGGTGCGCGATGTTCCCTTCTCCCCTCCCCGCGCCCATCGAACTGACGATTTGTGCTGCATGCAGGGTTCCACTCAGCCAAGTACCCCATGCTGAACCCGATCCTCGCGTCGGACTCGACGCAGGTGCGGTACGACGTGCGCAAGAAGGCGCGGAACGAGATCGCGCCGGCGACGTACATGCCGAACCGTGGCATGCCCGCGATCGCGAGCTCGGCGGCGCACGTCCGCCTCATATGCAAGGCGTTCCCGTGGTCGATCGACGTCATGTCGAACGCGCCCGTCACGGTGGAGGGTGTCTGGGATGCGCTTTATACCGCGGTGCGCTCGATATGTCGTTTCCTGCCGGCTGCCAAGGCTAATTGAGTATTTTTTTGCAGCTCCAGCAGTACATCGCCGACTCGGAGTGGGGGATTATCATCGGGGACAAGAAGCTGCGCGAGACGGTCGAGAAGGCGGCCAAGAAGCGGGGCGAGTCGGACGGAGACACGAAGCTGAAGCGGATCGATTGGTTGGGGGCAAACACGATCTTCAAGGGCCTGGACAGGATGGAGGAGTTTACCGAGCTCAGGTTATTGCCTGGGACGGAGCCGTGTGCGGAGACCTGGGTAGTTAAGCTTGGGTCTTCGTGAGTATGTAAGTATGCTAAGTTGTGTATCTGTATCTCTGGATCGAATAAAGGACGTTGTAAAGAGTGTGTTGTGGTATATGTATAGGTGATCGCCCATCACCTCAGCTTTTTTTGCCTCAGCTTTCGCTTGACTTTCGCGCGTACCATGGTTTCCTTCCAGTTAAATAATACCTCCCCTCCCCCTTCCCTCATTAACGAATCCCAATTCTACTAGATGCCATGCCTGCCAGGACACGGTAAAAAAGCCCAAGCTCGACCAGCATTACAACCGCTGCTACGCGGGCTTCGACTGCATCGATTGCTCCGCGACGTTCAACTCCCCCGCGGAGTACAAGGGGCACACACAGTGCATCAGCGAGGCGGAGAAGTACGAGAAGAGCGTGTATAAGGGACCTAAGACTGCTGTATGTCTGTCGCTGTTATAAACTGACCGGGGTTGATGTAGCATTGAAGCCAACAGGGAAGAGCACGTACCCGCCGCCGCCGCCCGCGCCGGAGAGCACGGTGCGCAATTGGGTGTCTGGCGGGCGGGGGCGCGGGGGGTTCGGGAGGGGTGGCGGGTGGGGGGCGCCGCGGACGGGCGCGACGGGCGCGAATGATACGCCGCTAGGGACGCCGACGCGGACGTCGCCGCCTGCGCCGGTGGCCGTTACACCGGCTGCGGTCCCGCTACCACCGACGCCGGCACCGACACCAAAAGCTGCCGCACCAGCACCCGCCGAGAAAGAGAAAAAAGACAAGAAGGAGAAAAAGGCGGAGAAGGAGAAGGAAAAGGAGGAACGCAAGAAAGAGAAGCGGGAGAAGAAAAAGGCCGCCGCGGCCGCCCTTGCTACGGAGACGGTAGGTTTTATCTTGCGCTTTCCCTGCATATTATACATGCTCACTCAACGCTTAGCCCGCCACCGAGCCAAGTGCTGCCGCCGATGGCGAACCGACAAAAACGCGCAAGGAGCTCCGAGCCGAAGCCTCGGCGCTCAAGAAAACCCAAAAGAGCGCGGCGAAGCTGCTCGCTAGTGGGAGTGGGAGCGGGAGCGACGGCGCGCCCGAGCCCCCCGCGACGCCGGATGAGTCCGCGTCTGGGACACCCCCGAAAAAGCGGAAACGCGAGCAGACCGAGACTGGGACCGAGATGGTTTTGGTGGAGAAATCGATACCGGACGGCAAGAAGCGCAAGAAGGATAAGGAGGGGAAGGAGAAAAAGGAGAAGAAGGCGAAAGCGGCCGAGGCAGAGGGCGACGCGGACGCGGACGCGGCTCCAGTTTCAAAACCGGAGAAGAAGCGGAAGAGGGACAAGAGCGGGGGCGAGGCGAAGGCGGACGGGATGGATGTCGATGTCGATGTACCCCCGTCGAATCCGATACCCGTCGAGGAGCCGGTGGAGAAGAAGCGGAAAAAGGACAAGAAGGCGAAGGACGAGGCCGACGCGGATGCGCCGGTAGAGAAGAAGCGAAAAGACAAGAAGGATAAAAAGTCCAAGACGGCGGAGGTCGCGACTTGATTTTTGTTCTCTTTTCTTTACTTCTGCTATCGTTACAGTCGTTTTGGGTCTCTAAACTCGTGTTTGCTCTGAGGAAGAAAAAAGTAGTTGTCACAGCATGGTTTCTAGGTAGGTAAATGGGCCTTCGTACAGATACATATATTCTCTTCTCGTTTCAGTGAGGGTATAATCCACGCCCTGATTGTTGCTTGCGCACTCAGAACGACGTCGTCGAGTCGACCTCGATGGTCGGCACGATGGACGCGATGAACTTGAGGAACACGACGAGATAAAAATCGACCCGCATGCCCTCGACGTCGTCGTCGCCCTCCGCCCCGCCCGCCCCCGCCGCCGCCTTGTCGTCCTTCCCGTTCCCGCTCGCCTTGCGCCCGAACCACTTCTTCTTCCCGCTGCCGTCCTTGTCCTTCGCGGATGAAGAAGAGCCCGACTTGCGGTGCGCGAGCTGCTCGGCGACGACGCTGCTGTTCATGCGCTCGATGACCTTCTTCATGACGCTCGCGTGCTTGCAGGGGTGCACGGACGCGGCCTGCAGCGAGACGGAGTGCGGGAAGGGCTCGATTGTGACGGTCTTGAAGGCGTAGTCGGCCGAGACGTCTTGGAAGATTTGCGGCGGCGTCAGCGGCGTGCGGTTCTGCACGGTTAGGTTAGGGAAACAGTCAGGGTCTTGGTCAGTGAGAGGGGACGGGAATAATCTAACCTCATCGTAGCCAAGCAGCCAGATGCGCGGAGTCTGGTAGTACTTGTCGTAGGTTATCATGACGTCGTACGTCCGTACCTGCAGCAGGTTGCCGTTCGCGACCTCCACTTGGCTGGGATGACGAATAAATAGATTGAGCGGGGTGGGACGAATTAACCATACCTAGCGTCGATAACGCCGGCCTTGGGTGCAGCGGTCGCCTCGTCCTCCTCCTCCTCTAGCCCCTCCTCCTCCATATCCGGAATATCGTCCAAATCGGGCGTCTCGTCGCCGCCCAGCGCGAGGTTCCCGACACCCTGGGCGAGGGAGCTCTCCGGCGGGGCGTCGAGGTCGGGAATGTCATCGATGCTGCCCGGGTTGGCAGAATCCAGGTTCGCCTTGCGCCCCGCGTGCGTCTCGACCCACTCGTCCGCCCCGGTGGCGTCGCCGCCGAACGAGAGCAGGCGCTCCGAGTCCTCGTCGGCGTCCGTGTACGCGAGCGACGTCGCGCGGCGGAGGCACGGCACCCCGCGTGTTACGAGATACTGCTTGTCGGGGGGGAGGTAGTCCTTCGTTTTAGACGGGTCGCCCGCTTCCCTGATGCGCAGATAGCATTGCTATTATAAGCCGTTGCGGGTGCCTCATGCAAGGTGCCACTGACCACGTCCATACTGGGAACTTGTACGCTAGAAAGTCGCCTGCGGCAAGGAACTCCTCTGCAGACGGTCAGAGACAAGTGATACTTGGGTTAAAGAACGAACCGGGTGTGATACGGCCGTGTTCTTTAAACTTGCTCTCCTTGAGAACCTGGGGACGATTAGCGGACGATTGAAGCTCCTCTGGGGCTGCTTACTGGGCTCAGGTATTCCCGGACAGACCAGAATTGTTGCTGTGGACAAGTAAGCAAAAAATAGGAAAAGAATGGGCAGACGGACGGTAATGGCGTGCATTGAGAGCAAGAAGCACAAGTCCGAAGTCGGCACATCCGATCGATGATAATAGGACCTGCGCACAGCCACTGATGATCGTTCAAATCAACTGTCCGAATCGCCGATTGTGTACTTGGTTATAAGAATCGTGGCGTCGCGGTTTAAACGGGCGGAGGGATACTGGGAGACTTGGCACCGGTTCACATTGTCTTGAATGAGGTTCGCCTACTCAGGGGAGTATTGGACCCACAGTCGTTGGGTAACCTTGGTTCAAATTCTGAACGTTGGCATGCCATTAAATTATAATGTAGAAGCCAATTTACCCTCTGCCTCCCTTTCCGCGCGACCGCAACAGGTGACTCATTTAAGGGCATCAACGCGTAGTTGAACCTGAACTTACCCCAGTGGCTTCATGCTTCAAGTACCGCCGGTCAGATGGTGTACTTGGTTATCACGTCTGTCTATGATTCGTCGAATCAATCAATACGAATGCTGGTTCTTTACTGTTGACTGGCCCTGTGTATATGTATGGCTCAGTTGTGCGTGACGGTTGAGCAAACTCTGCTTGAAAATTCTCCGACTAGATACTTTCCACATGACTTCGACCTCTCCTGCACAATTCTCATCGGTCCGATGGTGTAGTTGGTTATCACTTCTGTCTAACATCCGCATGCGTCATGTGATGTTCACAGGCGGTCCTCAGTTCGAACCTGGGTCGGATCAGTTTTTATTCTTTTTCTTTCTGAACTATTCTCTGCCTTCTCTGGAGTTTACGAGTACTTTACGTAGTAAAGTGATCGTTCTTTTCATAATCGAGACCAGGTTTTTGAGTTCGCGAAACTTTATCAGTGCGTTTTGACGATGTAAAGAAATAGTGGCGGTGTTCATTAGCTTTTTGAAGTCTTTTTAAGCCCTCCATCTAATGAGTTTAGTGATAACGTAATCAATGGGGGTAGAGCTGGTTCGAATCTGCCGGTTCGAAGGGGCTTTTTTTCAAAAAAAAAAATTGTTTCGTATCTTTTGCCAGGCATTGCCTGAATAAATACAAGATGTGCCTTCGCTACGCTCCGGGTGGGACCGCGAGGACGGAATAGCGATTGCTCGAAAGTCAAGCCTGGTTTTAGGGGCATTTACCAAACTTCTGCATTATTTACAGTAAAATCGTGGCACCTTCAAGTCGAGTGACCCGTATCCAGAGGATATCGCTGAATGAATGGAGCTGCGTCGAAGTTTTTACACTGCGCCACATCGGAACTATCTCGGCGGCTTCAATTGCAAGTTTTGGAAATAAAATAACATAGGTATGCAACGGAGTATTACATTTATTTGGCCAACAGCCGCGCAGCATTAGAGTACATAGGGAGTGGACAGCCGCGAGGGGCCATTCATATAATTCAAAACAACATTTAAATTGTCTAGGCGACTCGCATTCATTATGAAATCTGTGGAACCGTGAACTCGATGAGAATCGAAGAAAAGCTGCAGACAAACATACTGAGTACCGGCGCAGGCCAAAGGGAGTTAAAGGTTTGGCACCGGGTTGCAGTGCCGCCCTGAAGCTGAAGAGAGATCATAGAAGGGCGAATCAGATTCAGATGGGGCGAGGGGCGACTACACACCTGGATACGTCAGTTCAATGCTTGGAATTCACTTATATCGATTGGTTGGCGCTGACCTAACAGACGAATGTTGTGTATGAGTGATGGGGGGTATTTCGGGTCGGGTTCAGATGTCATATGGACGTGACACGGGCAAGCCAAGGAATCTTGAGGTATTCAAAAACTGCTGGTATAAATGTGGTCATTCTCCGCCTGTACGCGGATTGAAACTACATACTCATCAATGAACTCAGTTGGGCAGTGGGCGGATAAGTTGTATGAGGACGATGTTGCGCGCTGTAATGGGCTGCAGTGAAGGGGTTAGTCATAAACACAGCCAGCATTGAAAGCGAACTGCTCATCCCGTTCTTTGCGGAGCTGCGAAGGACCACATACGCGACTGTCGAAAGCCTGGGCCCCGTAAATACATCAATTTAACTTTCCCATGTGGCGACACGGCAATTTAACGGAACGAACCTCAATGGAATTACAGGAATGATCGGATGAGAAGGATTCAGCACTGGAGGATAAAAATCACCGCAGCACAGTAACGGAGTTCGACACAGCGGACGCGTTGGTTGCGGAGAAAATCTGCCAAAAAAGAATCAGTGCAAATGGTAGAACGGCGGGGAAACCCTTCCGGCTGATCTCAAGGACACGACGGAGCCCGCTTGAACGATTCAGAAGACCCAGAGCCCGGGGCTCGTTAGTGTTGGTGACGCCACTGCAGGGAGGAAGTCGGATGAACGTTGGGAAGTAAGAGAGCCGCGAATCAAGGATAACCGGCAGTTCGAATTGAAATTGCAAGCGCAACTTTGGGGTGAGACTTCCGTAATTTGAAGAGGCTTGAATTTCGACTGGAATTGTGTGGATCTTGACGCCGGGAGTTTGATAGCATTGCCGGGGGAAGCAAGAGAGCTGTGAATCCAGGATAACGGGCAGTTCGAAGTTGCCGTGATGGATAATCGGCATCGATGTTGAGAAAAAATGTGGGCACAGTGGGACTGGGTTTACGCAAGGTGTGATTTTCTAGCGCAAAATTGACCATTGACAAGAATGACTTTTGTCCGAGAGACTACAAGCTCCTGGCTGAGCAATCCACACCGAGGTATAAACTGTCGGTTCAGTCTCGGCTTGATTTTCGAACGGAATCTCAGGCTAGGCACCTGGAAATATGTATATGGGCACTCTGGATGTATCCAACCATGCTTACTTTGGTTCTCGAATTTTCTGGTGCCTCTGCGCTAAATAGTAAGCCAACTACAAGAAATAATTGCTTGATGAATACTGGCATGTTTTTCGGGTGCCTCATTCAAACAGACGTAGCCACACTTCCTTTGCCATCTCTAATATGGGCTCAAGAAAAATTGAGGGAAGTTGAACCTATTGTGCGGGCACAGTTCACTTCCCTCTCCCACACATCTGACATTCTATTCTTGTATGTGCTTCATTGTTTCTGTCATGCTGAAAAAAATCGCTGATACGTATTTGAAGCCCTGGAATGCAGTGTACATGGCCCCGCATTATTCCTACCATTGTTGTTGGGATGCTTGCCTGACTCACGGTGTCAAAATGTTGATGTTCTGTACAAGCATGCGCATCATGGGAAAACTCAAATTTGACATGCATCCAGTGTTTTTTTACCCCGCGAGGACGATGGTCACACTCATGAGGGTAGTCGCGATGTGGATCTGCCGGTGTGAGCATGCCAATTCAGAAAGTCTGTTCTGATGTTTTATTGGTGACCCCTATAGATTCAGTTACAGCCTCACAGTGGACCTGCAATTTTTTTGCTTTGAATGAGCAGCCATTTACATGACTGCAGCCTTCAGTGTCGTTGTTCGTTGTCGTGCAAGTTCCTACGAAGGCTGTGCATCTTGTTTGGGTGTGCTTTGATCCCCGTAAATTGCCGCCGTTACTTGTACAGCTTGAACTCGGGACTGGCATCCCAAACATCCAATAAATTCCTCCTCAGACTTCTATCGGGGTTCACACCTCATTGCTTCACTTTCTCTTAGGCCTTCTCCACACTTTCATCTATTTTGTGATCGTTGTAACCACCCGGCCCGGGAGAACCCGTTCGAGTCTGAGCGCAACTCGACGTTCAAGTATAAGTTGAATAACAGCGAAAGATCGCGGCGAGGTGGACAACGGGTGGAGTTTTCCGAAAGTATAAACCCCTCGAGACATCCAGGCTAGTGGACTTCACTCGGCCCGCTTCGGCGGGTGGAGGCAAGGTGGAAGAAGAGGAAGATTAGCGCGGCATCAGTGGTGTCCAATTGTCGTGTAGGAAACGCTGGAACAAAGGGGCGCCTTATGAGTGGGGCTTGAGGGCTGATCAGCAAGGTAGAATTGAGCAAGCGCCAGGGCGTCTAAACTATTCTGGATAGAGGAGGTCAGCTGGGATCGTGAAAGGGGTAATTTCGGCAGTACAAATAGACGTACTCTGATTCGAGGGATCTCGTTAATATACGAGTAATAACAAGACAGACCTCTGCTTCGCTCCGGCATGTGAAATGACGAGAATAAAATATATATACGTATATTGCATGTGTCCGTGGTGTATAGAATATCACTGCGAAAGGGGTGGATTAGCTTACATTTCTTGCCATTGGGTTGATTTTGGCATTGGCCACGGTAACTCAGCCCGACTCTGAAGCAAATTTCAAAGTCGATTTCCTAGGGGTAAGAAAGAGTGTTAGAAGTCTCGTCTTCAACCGAATAGCGAAGGACGAGAGGAACACTATACATGCCAGTAATTCAAGAATTTGTCCTCCAAAGAACCAATAGTAAACCTGCTGAGTCTAGTCGGCGTGATGAAATAATGTTGTATCGCGAGGTGCCAGCATGTAGTCGTCCGTCTAATTGTAGAACAATAAAGGCCGACAGTAGACTGGATATTCTGCATCGTACCAAATGAAGAGGAGTTTGCGTCGAAAAACAGAGGAACCGAACGCGGGCATTGATTTGTCTAGCAGGTCACCGTCATGTCGCAAAATGAACCAATAAAAAGATCGTTGAATTTGTCGACCAGGAAAGTAGTAATTAGCCGACAAAGGGAGTCCGAACGGTGACAGAAGCGGAAACAGTTAGGAATATGGGCGAGCGGGAAAGGGATATTGATGACCGCAGCCCACAGCCTCGGAGTGCATCTTAAGACTAGTTGTTTGAAAAAACCTGATATTTATACCCGTTACAATCCCAGCTAGAGCAACCTTGAAGGCGAGAGCGGGAGGAGACGTAATTACAGTGTTGCAGCACGGAAATACTCCGGAATTAGTTGAGTGATTTGATCCAGATCAGAGGAAGGTGCCCAGCAGTAGACAGAAGTGTTAGAGAATCTGGGCCAGAATCAATCTGAGAAAGAATGTTGCAGGTGCAGTACTTTGAGGACGAGAGCAAGAGCGCAAGATTTCCAGTCCGACGAAAGGCAATACAGCTGTTTTATATGTCGAGAATCTTCGGGCGGACTGCGTGGCCTCCCGGCACGATGACAATGGAGTCGGCTGCGCCGTAGGCGGCAGCGACTGCGGTAAACTGCGTCTTCTCTGCCGGTAGGTCAGCTGCTAGCAGACTGTTCTGGTTCAGACTGCGCGGGAGTCATTTGACGTTGAGAAATGAGGGTAGGACTTCAGGGCGGGAGGGAAGGAGATATTGAGGGGATAGGCCAGATGGGGATGAAATCAAAGAGATAGAAAGAATCTGAGGACGAGAAGAGAGGGAAACAGAATGGAGATAAACCTACATGGAAAAATTGCACTGCCGAGTGAGCTTTGTAGGCATGGGGCCAAGGGAGGGGGGAAGCGAGGGGCAGGGGGCGAGGATGTCTGAGATGTCAATCTATATCCACTGATATCCACGCCACGGTGATTCGGCCGTGGTGAGAAAATCTTGCGGCGCAGTGAGAGAATAATCGCGGCGCAGTGACAGACGTGCTGCAAGTGTACTGATTGGAGTCGGGCATCGGCAGCTGACGAATGGCGCGCCGGCAGGGGAGGAGAGGCAAAGTAACGGAGATAGTGCCACATGGGGCTATTGCACCGCCGAGCGAGCAAAATCTTGAAGAACGGTTAATAATATACCTTTGTCTTACACTGTGATGATTGCGTATTCCTTTGTACCATT